CATGGCTCACTCTGAATGTTTAAGAGATGTTTCCTTTGCTCACATTGCACATTTTCCACATAATTAGAAGAAGCTCATGGTGCAGTCTATATTCTAGGTTTCTCATACAGGACTGGAATAAAGCTTAGAAACTCAATAGCTATAGGGAAAAATGAAAGTGGGAGAGTACTATAAAACTAGTACCTGTGGTCTAGATGAGCAGTGTAATGAGGAAGATTGGAAAATGAGGGATTTTGGAATTGTGTAGCATTAATAAGAGTTCCAGAATGTCGTTTTTAAAAAATAAATTAGGAAATTACAGAGAATTTAAGAAATAGTTCCCTGATTCATTAATTCTTACCTTTAGATGGAAGAAAAAATACTTTTAAGATGTCAGTGTTCCCATAATTGGTTTATAAATTTAGTTTATAATCAAAATTATAATAAGATTATTGTAGGTAGCCTTTAAGATGCCCTCAATGATCTCCAATTCCTAATCTTTACACATTTGTGCAACCCTCTCGCCTTGGTATGAGCTGGACTTAGACACTTTTAACTAGTACAATATGAATGGTGTGAGGTCATGTCGTATGCTCTTGTATGCTTCTTCTAATATTTAGATTACCATAAAAGGGGAAGGGTGGGTGGGTGCGAGATAATCAACCAAAGACATTGTATGCATATATGCATAATGCATGGACACAGAAAATAGGGCAGGAGTCCTCAAACTTTTTAAACAGGGGGCCAGTTCACTGTCCCTCAGACCGTTGGAGGGCCGGACTATAGTTAAAAAAAAAACTATGAACAAATTCCTATGCACACTGCACATATCTTATTTTGAAGTAAAAAAACAAAACGGGAACAAATACAATATTTGTATTTGCATGTGGTCTGCGGGCCGTAGTTTGAGGACCCTTGCAATAGGGTGTTGAAGGCCTGGGGCGAAGGAGTAGGGCGGGGGGGCAATGGGGGAAAAGGGGACAATAAAGAATTATTTAAAAAACAAAACAAAACACTGTGTCTTCCACCTTGCATATACTCTCTAGCTTTGTCTGGGTCACTCACCCTGACAGAAGCCAGCTGTTGTGCTGTAAGGCAGCTTGGTGGAGATGCCTGGGACAAAGTACTATCACCTGCAAAAAGCCACATGGATCAAATTGGAAGAGGATTGACATTCTTATAGTAGAACTTTCAAAAGAATTCAAAGCCCACCCTGACAGAATTCTTGAGCCTGAAATAATCATATAAGCTGAACCAGATAGCTGATTAATATTAACTGTGAAAAGAATAAATGAGTGCTTTTTAAGCTGTTAAGTTTTGATGTAACTTATTATACAGTAATCCTACATAATAAAGAGGTAATATGCAAATTGACTGTCACACCCTTGCACAAGATGGCTTCCCCCATGGGGGCACAAGATGGCCACCACAAGATAGCCTGCAGGAGAGGGAAGTTGGGGGGGGGGGACCAGGCCTGCATGGGAGGGCAGTTAGGAACCAGCAGTCCCAGATTGGGCCTCAACCGGCAGTCGGACATCCCCTGAGGGGTCCCGATTGGAGAGGGTGCGGGGCCGGGCTGAGGGACCCTCCTCCCCCGCACTCCCAAAGCACAAATTCCTTGCAGTGGGCCTCTAGTAAATAAATAATACAGAATTGGCACATGAATGCTAAATTGTGCCCCAAAACCCACAAAAGACTAAAATGTGGGGAAAATTTTGAAATCAGAATCTGAAAAAGCTATAATTTTGAGGAGAGTGTTAATAAAAGTATAACATCACTGATTTTAAACATATATACAAAATCATATGTACAAATAGCTTATACAAATATTATATACTAGAGGCCTGGTGCACAAAAATTTGTGCACTGGCGGGGGGAGGGTATCCCTCAGCCCCACTTGTGCCCTCTCACAGTCTGGGACCCCTCGGGAGATAAT